GGATCAAACCTGGGATCTTTCATTTGGCAGGCTGATGCTCTATCCACTGAGCCAAACCAACTACGGCCCAAAGAATCCCTCTTGATTGTACCACTTTAAGAACTAGACAGTCCTCTCTGAAGAACCAACAAGACAGTGGACATGGAGCTGGAGCAGAAGCAAACCTTCCGTGGTGTGCACCCTGACCCACTGCTGGATATGGCCTCCTGGCAGCTTCACGGTGACAGCTGCACAGCACCCGGCAGGAGAGGCTGAAGCAGCATTTGAAGCCCCTGCACAAAGCCAACCAGGAGAAAGAGGCCAAGGTGAACACACCTGCGGGACAGGATCATCCTGCAGGGGACAGTGGACAGCGTGGTGGGTGTCTCCATTGGCAAGACCTTCACCCAGATGGGATTCAAGCCCAAGATGATTGACACTACCTGGGTGAGTTCTCCATTGCCTACGAAGCCCATGAAGCAAGGCTGGCCCAGCATTGGAGAAACCCACTCCTGCTTCATTTCCCTCAAGTAGCTTGTTCAGCCAATGAAGGCACTGACTTCTCTTAAAAAAAAAAAAAAAAAAAAAAAAAAAGAACTAGTGATATGTTCTGACAATAAGCTGTAACTTTTCCCCACCAAGGTTTCACATATTTCAAAGAACTGGGATACCAGTCACTACACATTAATTTTTATCTTTGGTGTAAACACTAGTCTTTCCATCTTAGCCATGTTTAGGATGAGGACTAAATAATCTAACTCTATCAGGAAGAAATCTGAATTACCAGAGAACAGAACATTACCATAGATTGTATCCTTAAGGTCCTGCTTAAACTGAAGTACAGGTACATTGCGGGAGGAGGGGAAGTGGTCACAGGATATACATCTTTTTTCTTTTTTAAAATATATTTTTATTGATTTCAGAGAGGAAGGGAGAGGCAGAGAGAGACAGAAACATCAGATGAGAGAATCATTGATCAGCTGCTTTCTTCACATCCCCTACTGGGGATCAAGCCCACAACCCAGGCATGTGCCCTGACCAGGAATCAAACCGTGATCTCCTGGTTCCTAGGTCGATGCTCAACCACTGAGCCACACTGGCTTGGCAGGATAGACATTTTAATATTTGCAGAAATTTGTGATGAAGATTTGGATAAAGACCAGCATGGACCCACCTTGATCAACTAAGGGATCACCATTAAAAGGGATACTGGAAGCAAAACAGAAAACCTTATCCTATTTTCAATTAAAGAATTCAGCTAGAGTTCTATATGTGTCTTTTGGTCACTGAATTTTTAAAAATAATTTTTTAAAAGGCCTAGAACTAGAGATGATCTGGACAACTAAATAGAAGAAAGGGGGAAGGTGTTGAAATAGGAGAAGAAAAATATGACAAGAGACCAAAGATATTAGGAACCTAAAGAAAAAAAGACCAAATAAAACATCTATAAAAATCAAGGAAAAAAAGCCATGCATAAAGTCATTATGCACTTTACTAAATCTCAAAATATGCAGGACACTTTAGATTTAAGAGAAATGAAGCTTTAACTTTCAAACTAATATCAGATCTTGCCATTGTTGACAACACAGTCTTGGGAAGGGCAGATTTTGAATGGCAGTATCTACTCTTGGATGCTTCTACTTCCACATCCATGTTTATATCAGCACCTACTTAAACCGCATCAAACATTTAGATTCATACTAGGTTTAGGATATCAGGGCATGTCTGATGTTTTATATGGGTTGTATAATTAATAATGTTCATATTAAATAATTTTTGAAAACTACTTTTAACTCATTTAATCCTTTCATGACCAAGAAGTAGCACAAGGAAATTAAAGCAATCAACCTGGTGGGTAAGTGACAGAACTTGAGGAGCACTCAAGTCCAATCATGGAATCTAGGATGCAGACTCAGAGAAGTATGACAACAAATAATACTTGACTATTATTTACTTATTAGAAGCTGTGGAAAGCTTAAAAAGGAACCTAAAGAGAATTTGGTGGTCTTCTAACAACATTTCAAGGAAGAGACTGAATTTCCTAAAAGGATTCTGGTCATTAAATATGTAACTGTGGAGTGGATCACTAGATTAACTCACAGGCTGGATAATCAGTTCTTCATGATTATGCAACTCCATTTTCTCTGATTGCTTGTTCAGGGAACAGGCCTCTGGTTATTTAGTTTCCCAGTTGCCTTCATATAAGAAAGAGGGCTTCCTGACAGTGGATCCTGGAAGGCTGTTGCTCACCATAATTACACATATGCATTTGGGGTTATACATCATGGTTAGCATGAATCTCTGGGTCAGAGAGCCTGCTAAACACTGCACATATCAAGAGTTCTGGTCCCGACCGGTTTGGCTCAGTGGATGGAGCGTCGGCCTGCAGACTGAAAGGTCCCGGGTTCAATTCCAGTCAAGGGCATGTACCTTGGTTTCAGGCACATTCCCAGTAGTGGGGGGTGATACAGGAGGCAGGTGATTGATGTTTCTCTCATCAATGTTTCTAACTCTATCCTCCCTTCTTCTCTGTGAGAAAATCAATAAAATATATATATTTAAAAAAGTTGTGTTCATGGATGATCAGACCCCCCTGAAGGGATGAATGTCTTGAGAGGCCTTATCTGAATAGCCTACCCTGTATAACTCCCAACTCTGCTCTTTCATTTCCACAATAAGTTTCAGGGAACAACTAGGGAAAATGAGTGCTAAAGGAGTGAAAGGAAATTCAGTGACAATAAGGGTGTTCAAGGAATGACTCCTACAACAAGTAAAGTTAGTACCAGCACTATGCTAACTTTCGTTGTTTTCTTTCTTTACTGGTAATAGAAATTTTTTGTAAAATTGGTAAGTGCCTAAGGGTGACAGTCCACTGTCCTACTCTCTAGGCTTGACTACTCTATCCTGGAAGACCTTTATGCACAAACATAATCTGTACTGTTATTTTATTTTGTGTACTATTCTTTTAAATAAAGTTGTTAGAGTAGGCCAAACTGCTCTAATGAGTTCTGGCTCAAACTAATGGCTCAAACACAGTAAATTGGCTTCTTGTTTATTTAACATCCAGGTAGATATTATAGGTCAGCAGGAGGCTTCCCTTCACGCAGTGATTCAGAGACCAGACTTCTTTCACTTGCGGTTCTGCCACGCCTAGGGTCCCAGGTTCAAGGCAGTGGGAGAGGAAGAAGAATTGAGAAGGCACACCTCTGCGTTTAAAGGCCCTGCTCTAGAAGTGACATATCACTCCTGCTCACATGACATTAGCCAGCAAGTGCAGGTCTAAGCTATGTCCAGAAGATGATTATAATGGATTTTGGCAGATAGCAAAATGAGTTCTGTTAAATTCTATTGCCATACCTTTTTGTTTAAAAAAATAAATATATATATACACATACACACACACACACACACACACACACACACACACAAATATATATATATATATATATATATATATATATATATATATATATATAATTATTATTATTACTTAGAGAGAGAGGAAGGGAGAGGGAGTCAGAGAGACATCCATGTGAGAAAGAAACATCAATCGGCTGCCTCCAGCATACCCCCAACCACACCTCCTCCTGGGGATTGATCCCGCAACCCAGGCATGTGCCTTGACAGGGAATTGAACCAGCAACCTTTTAGTACATGGGATGATGCCCAACCGAGCCACACGTGCCTGGCAGCTGCCATAATCTTTAATAACTAAGAACTCAAATATTAAAGCTTATGCTATGGATCCTAACTATGGTAATCCTAACCTCTAATCATTACAGAGCTGAATCAGTGAATATACTATGCCATCCTGCCACAGCCTCTTAGGAGCTTTCTCCTCTAACACCTACTGTTCCCACAGCATTGTAGCACCCAAAGGACTAGTAGAGTAGAGCACAGCATGGGTTTCTAAAGATGAACAAGGACCTGAAAAAAGAACTGTACATTCCATGTTTGGAAAACAGTTAAGCAATTTAATAGAAATGAGAAGTCTGCATATTGGAGCAATGCAATAGGTTGTAGAGAACATGATTTGCAACCCACAGGCCAGAGTTTCTGAGAAGTGAGGCGGCTACTGGGATGTTGTTTTTTTTTTTTTTTTTGTAAGTGTCTAAATGAACTGAGTAATAATGAAGCTATGACTTTGTCAGAGTGGTGTGGCAAATCTAGTTCAAAAGGCACAAGAAATGGTCTTAATTTTTTTTATAGATTTTTTTATTTTTATCTTTAATATATTTTATTGATTTTTTACAGAGAGGAAGAGAGAGGGGTAGAGAGTTAGAAACATCTATGAGAGAGAATCATCGATCAGCTGCTTCTTGCACACCCCCTACTGAGGATGTGCCCGCAACCAAGGCACATGCCCTTGATCAGAATCGAACCCGAGACCTTTCAGTCCGCAGGCTGACACTCTATCCACTGAGCCAAACTGGTTTCGGCTAATTTTTTTTTTTAATCCTCATTCAAGGATATTTTCCCCATTGATTTTTAGTGAGAGTGGAAGGGAGAGGGAGAGATAGAGAGAAACACTGATGTGAGAGAGACACATCGATTGGTTGCCCCTGACCAGGGCTAGGAGCCTTCAGTCCACAGGCTGATGCCTTATCCACTGAAGCCAGAGCTCTACTCATTAATTTTTAAAGAATCTTAGAGTAATAACGAAAAGAGCAAATATTATAAACATGGGAGGAATGTCTGCCTGTCATGCTTGAGGGAGCTGTCCCTTTCTTAAACTTTTTTTGTGCTTCAAGTCAACTCACCTGCAAATCTAAATCAGATGAAACATAATGTTTTGTTGTTAATCCTCACCCAAGGATAGACAGACAGACATTGATGTGAGAGAGAGACATCAACTGGTTGCCTCTCGCATGTGCCTCGACTAAGGTTGGGGATCGAACCCATGACCCTTTGATGTGTGGGCTGACGCTCTAATCACTGGACAAAACCTACCATGGCAAGACAATGTTTTGTTGTTTTTTTAAGATATAATGATTTATTACTGCTCTTTCCTGTCTTATAAGAAGGCACTGTAGGACAGAATGAACCTGAAACTGCAAGGAAGCTCGTATGACAAACAGATTTGGAAACAACTTGAAAGGGCTCTGCTTTTTGACACACAGTGGGGCCAACCAAAGCTCTGCATAGACTGACAGCCTCCGTGCTTCTCTCCCAGTGCTGGTAATAAAAATACACCGAATACTATTAGGATCTTTTAGGCCCAGGTGTCACCTTTGGCCCTGATAAACATCTCCAGGCTCCACTGGAGTGAAACGAGAACACAAGTGCATCAACAGAATGATGCAACCATCTGGTAGGGAAGAAATCAAAACAGTCCTACCTGACCTTAGCAGTGTGTGCAGACAGCACTTCTATTTAGGGTCCTGATCACTAGTGAATCCCGCAAGAAGCCAGGGACAGGAAAGAAGGAAACGGAGGAAAAGTATCTGCCTCCACACACCACACTATGCTAGCTACTTCACAGATGGCTGCTAATCTTCACACCCTCATGGGTTTCACATACTTCAGACGGAGAAATTCAGCAGTTAAATAGCTCCAACTGGTTAGAGCCTGAGTCACCCTTTGCTTGGAAACTCATAGAAGACACTGTTACAAGTGAGCAGGCATTTGTCATTATCTTAAAGGTAACTCCACTACCCCCCTACTGCTCCAAAGGCTCCCGGTAAGTCGAGAGGGATGGGCTGACATGGGATAATTGACGGAGCCCCAGGTAGTCCACGGGCAGAATAGTGTCAGGGCCCATCAGTGTGCAGTTTTTTTGTTTGTTGTGTTGTTTTGTGTGTGTGTGTGTGAGTGTGTGTGTGTGTGTGTTTCAGACTGTGCCTGAAATAGAATAGAGTGTTTATGACTTGTCAGGAATAACAAGTCAGTGAAACCTGGAGAAAAACAAAGATGCTGAGATCTCACTTGGTGCTGAGAGACTAATAATCCTAATGGCTTTTAAAATTACAGACTCAAACACTCTGTAAGACAGATCTAGCTCCATGCAAAGGGAATTCTAATCTTTTAAAGGACTGCTACTGCTAATTCTTAGAACTCCAAAGCTGTGCCTGGAAAACCAGTTAATTGAAAACCAAGCTGCAGTGTTCCTGGAGGCGGTCTAGGAAATGGCCACAGGCCATTCAGTCCATTTGAAGTAAAATTGCTCTTATCCCTAAAATGTGATTTGGGTAAGAACTTTTGAAGAGACTGTTATTTAAGGTAAACTCATTTGGTGTCTACCAATAAAATGAAGAAGTCTGAATTTTACTTAGTTCATTTAACTCCCTAAGCTGTACAGTCTCATGAAGTATGTGTTGGGGTATCTAAAAATCAGTTCGTTGCCCAGCCCGTGTGGCACAGTGGTTGAGCACTGACCTATGAATGAGGTAGTCACAGTTTAATTCCCCAGTCAGGGCACATGCCTGGGTTGTGTGCTCAGTCCCCACTGGGGGATGTTCAGGAGGTAGCCAGTCAGTCAATGATCTCTCTCTTTCCCTTTCTAAAATCTCAACAAAATATTTTACTTTGCTTCCTCAGGCCCAGTCTCCAAAATGTTTGGTAAGAGGTCATATCACACAAGTACACATATTTGTTCTAGGTCACTCCTTCATAGTTCCTGAAAAGACTCCAGCCATCACTCTCAATATCTCCTTCCTCCCTACTCTGCCCTCCTGTTGTCTCTGCAGCAGCTATGCGTTGTCAGACACGGAGAACACCACCGTGGCAGGGGGCGTGGTACTGAGAGCTCCAATGACAAACGGATTTGGAGCCAACTTGAAAGGCTCTCATGTTTGCCTTGCAAAAAAAGCAAAGCTCTGCATAGACTGACAGCCCCATTGCTTCTCTCTCAGTGCTGGTAATAAAAATACACGGAATACTATTAAGACCTTTTAGACCCAGATGGCCTTGATAAGAAGGTGGCCCTGGGCATCCTGGCCAGTGATTTTGGACATGTCCACTTAACATATGCCACAGTTAAGATAACTGATATCAACATGGTGTTAATAAATGCCTTTGCACAAATGTGATTCTTGAGTAAAAAAAATTAACTTGAAAACTTCACTCCAGACATGTAACTGAGATGACTTGCAACACCATTTAGGTTCCTGATAATTGCTTCTCCAGCTACATCTGTCCTTTCCTGAGGAGAACAGAGTATCACTGTCTGAAGATAGGCTTAATAATGTATGCTGCTATGAACCAAACTCATGTCAACCCTCTGAACAACGATAGGTCAGCATGAGTCAGCTCGGTCTTCTGCAGACTGTCAGCTGACGGTACCCTAGCAGCCTGGTTCCAGCGCAGGCAGGATGGAGTAAGAGGAGGGTTTCTTTGGCTTCCTAAGTCACTACAACAAAACCAATGTCCCTCTTTCAGGACAAGATGGCCGAGCGTCACTGCAAAATGATCTGCTGACAAACTTCAAGCTATTCCAATGTCTAATAACCACAGGAAGAGATAGCAAGAATGTGATCCTTTTTAAATTCTTGATACTTGACCTTGTTCCAGAAAGGATTTAAAGGGAGATGCACCAGGCTAGTGACTATAGCTCTGCCAGTTAACAGTCCAGATGTGTAGCTCCAGGCCTCAGACCCTGGGCTAGCATCATGATGTGTGTTCTTCAAGAACCTCACATTGGAACGCATTCCATACTACTCTGGGCTGAGAGCCGAGGGCTGCAAACATCGCCTTTTGCCCATCCTGCCACAGTGGGTCCAGTGCCACACGAGATGCGAAGGAAAAATTCCAGGCCCGTAACTTCTTAGAAGAGTCAAGATGTCCAACCAAGTACAGTTTCTAAGCTTGTCCTACCTCAAGGACAAGGCTCGCTTAACGCAAAAATAAACCTTGTTACATTTGTTACAAGGATTAAGTAAGAAAAAAGCACATATATGCCAAGAATTACATATCAGTGTAACTGGGTAAGACATCTTTGGAGTTTTTCTCCTGCAGGGGAAAAACATTCCCTTTCTTCCCTTCTAGGTTCTTAGGCTGGTTAAATCAACTCCCCAGACAACTGGAGAAGGGGGAGGGTGATTGGGGCTTCAAAGGGAAAGAAGACAATTCACAGGAAGATGGGAAGACCCAACTTTTAGTAAACAACTGTTTGCCATCTAGGCAGAAATATAGGACCTTGGACTTTGCACAAACAGGACCTCCCTCCCGCTGGCCACACCTAGCCCATACTCTTTGCAGTAATCTCTGGTGATAACTCTCTTCCTGGACCAGGCCTTCTCTCTAAATTCATTTGGGTAGTTAAAGGGGAAGTGAAAAGCTCTTTCTGAGTCTTCTGAACCTTGAATGACTTCAGCTGGAAGTAATAAACATGCCAAAGAGGCAATTTTGGGGAGGCTTTTTCTGAACCCCTTCACTCTCATCCGACCCTTTTTCTTTCCCTTGAAACTGATGGTGTAATCTAAGACTTCCCAAAACATGTTTGTAATAAGACTGTCATTTTAAAAGTTAGACTTTTGGGTAAGAATTAGAAAACAAATACAGGTACACTGATTTCTCATTGAAATGGTTCCTAAAGAGTTCAGCTGTCACACACAACTTGACCAGAAGGAGGAATTGCAGGTGAAAAGGGACTCTGTCGTAAGTATGATCAGTAGCTAGGGTAATCTGATCATAAATTGTTAGCTAGGAAGATCATGGTGGGTAGTCACACCCCAAGCCTATAAAATTCTTATCTTTGCTTTAAGCAATTCCTGTCCATTGTTCTTGTGCATCTTAAAATGACAGAAATCTTTTCTAAGCTTTCTTCCCACCCTCAAGGGAGAATATCTTATTAACTATTCTGCAATCCAATCATCGAGAGACACTCCACCTGACTTTCTCCTACCTTCATGTTATCTTTCTTACATTCACTCAATTCCAAATGTATTAAAGCAACTGCAAAACTGTCATTCTCAAGAGCATTTGAGATCTTGCTTCTCATCACTGTCATCAGTTTGACTCAAATAAAACAAACAAAAATCTACAGGTATGGAGACAGCTAATTAAATCTTAGGAAACCCTAAGACCTAACCACAATGTCACACCCTGCTGTGACTCAATCCTTAAGTCACACAAGAAAGTGTTTTCTACTTCTCTTCCTATTCAGTGGTCCTGACCTCGTGGGGCGAGGAAGAGAGCCAGGGAGATTCCGTCTCTCCTCAAATCTGAACATTGTCATCCTTATTCTATTAGCACACACTCCCTACCAAGAGTTAGGTCATTCATAAGGAGCAAATTTCTTAAACCAACCACAGTAATTCCTTAGGTTCTGGGCCTCTGAATTGTGTTATTTTGGATATTGAAGGAATAATGCAACAGCTGTCTAAATAACTAGAGGTCAGCCTTACCTGAAGCAGTTATAATTAGCTACTTAGGTCCTGGTTCAAAAACAAGTGTTTAAAAAGGGAGCAAATGAAAGATGAAACAGAGGGCCTGGAGAACGGGACCAGGATATTGAAGAAGAACCCTGCCGGCTGCCTTCCAGAGGTGAAGGAGCCCGCGTGCTGGGGTGGACACACCTTTTGAGGGGAGGAGAAGGAAGGGACGGGGCTTAGGGCACTCAGCACATGCTGATTGGTGGTTTCATATAAGGCACATGATTAGGGACTGAGGAATCGGGGGCTTAGGGTATTTGGCAGGTGCTGATTGGTGGTTCAATGTACAGTCCAAATAAGGTGCCTTATTAGGTGCTCAGGAATGTCCGACTGCAGGTGGAGTTTATATTATTTTCTGTCCATCAATTGGGGGAAGGACGGATCTATCAGCAAAAACTGGCCATTATCACCTACTAACATTTATCTTGAAGAATTTAATCAACTGGTAAGAGTTAAACAACATGATATATGAGAGTTATTCTTTGAGTCATACATTCTTAAAAATCTGGAAAACCAAATGGTTTCTAAGAGCAAATCATTTTAAGAAAAAGGAAATAGCCGAGACCGGTTTGGCTCAATGGATAGAGCGTCGGCTTGGGGACTGAAAGGTCCTGGGTTCGATTCCGGTCAAGGGCATGTGCCTTGGTTGCGGGCACATCCCCAGTAGGGGGTGTGCAAGAGGCAGCTAGTCGATGACTCTCTCTCTCATCGATGTTTCTAGCTCTCTATCTCTCTCCCTTCCTCTCTGTACAAAATCAATAAAATATATTTTTAAAAAAAGAAGAAAAAAAAGAAAAAAGAAAAAGGAAATAGTGATCTGGGCCAATCCCATAGGTCACATGTGAATGAAATGTGAACGAAAGCGAAGCTCTAACTCTGACATGTTTAGTGACTGAAAGTAACCTAAGGGGTGATCTGAGCATAAATTACTATCTGGGAAGGTCACGGTGGATAGCCACACCCCAAACATATAACTTATTTAGTATATCTATTCCTTAAGCAAACTCTGTCCGTTGTTTCTGTGCTTCTAGGTTAACACACCTTCAAAATGCCAGAGTAATCCTTTTTTTTAGACCCCTTGTAAACATGACCACCCTCAAGAAAGCGAAATCTTAACTATCCTGTAATAATAAAAGCCTAATATGCTAAGTGTCTGACAATTCATTGACTGTTTGACCAGCCGCTATGATGCGCACTGACCACCAGGGGGCAGATGCTCCGACTGTTAGGTTAGCTTGCTGCTGGGGTCCATGGGTCAGACACGCCCTTGAGCCCTCCTGTGGTTCCTCCCTGGCCCACCAACCTTCTGCAGTCCCTGATTGTGCACGGGGCCTCTAGTCCTGTAATAAGAAACTGCAGCCTGGCTGGTGTGGCTCAGTGGTTGAGCATGGACCTATGAACCAGGCCCTGTCGGGTGGGGCACATGCCTGGATTGTGGGCTTAATCACCAGGAGGGGGGTGTGCAACAGGCAGCCAATTGATGTTCCTCTGTCATCAAAATGTTTCTATGTCTCTATCCTAGGCAGTAGTACTTAATGTTTCAATCTTTCTATTCTAGACAATATTTAATGGCTGATAACATCATTTCTGGTAGAAGTGTAAACTGGCTATCTATGAAGCAGAACTGCTGGAGGGGGTGGGGGATGGAGATTGAACCTAAATCTGACCAAGGATCTCGATCCAAATACAATTTACAGGAAATACAGAGGACAAAAGAACAAGTCATAG